AAATAACTCAGAATTAGAGAATATGATTTGCAATTATTTTAAGTATGCACTGTAAAAGATTCCTTTAAGTAAACGTGATTTCACAGAGTTTAACTTTTTTCACTTACACTATCAAATCTAACTTACTACTCCCCTTTAGATATGGCAGCAAAATGCATAAAACAGTATTGGAACCAGTAAGAGCTCAGAATGTAACAGCTGAATACTCAACTAGAAGATTTAGTCTCAAGAGTCTTATTTCCTATTTTGAGAGTTTAGGTCCTGTGTTTCCTCTAGATATGTCTATTAACCATTTTGTTGCTCACTGACAAATAAAAGAATGTGGACAATGTGACTCTTTTAATCACTTAATATAGTCAATATGCCTGTAGAGATTTGAATCAAAGATGAGATTCAAAACTCTTCTAATTAGACTCTCAACTCTGGTGATTCTTGAACAACTGTATTATCCGAAACCTTATTATACTTTGTCAATTAAGTAACTGAATGTTTCAGTTCAATTCTTTTTTTTTTTTTTTTTAAGTAGAGACCTCATTCAGAGAACTAGTTAACCCAGACCTGTCAACTCAGATTTTGTAACATATAGACCAATACCTGTTCAGCTAAATAATGCTGCTTTCTATAACTGCTCCTATGTTATCTAAACAGTCTGCCCACGAAAGTTTATAAACTAAAGTACAGGGATCCCTGGGTGGCGCAGCGGTTTGGCGCCTGCCTTTGGCCCAGGGCGCGATCCTGGAGACCCGGGATCGAATCCCACGTCGGGCTCCCGGTGCATGGAGCCTGCTTCTTCCTCTGCCTGTGTCTCTGCCTCTCTCTCTCTCCCTCTCTGTGACTATCATAAATAAATAAATAAATAAGTAAGTAAGTAAGTAAATAAAAATCAAACTAAAGTACACCTAACAAGACCAGAAAAATACCAAGCTTAAAGTCAAATACTTATACCAATGCTTCCTTTTCTAGCCAGCATTTTTTCTGAAGTGCTCCCAAATGCCTGTATTTTCCTTTTTCTTGCCCATCTCATTTCTCTACCACTGTAATTAATGTTCCAGTTACACAGTATCCTATGGTACATAAAACATGATGCTAATTATAATAAACAAAATATTGAATGCTCATTATATCAGGAACTATTTTAAGCCCTTTACACATAACATATTCTCAACTTTAAATAAGATAAAAATACTGTAATTCCTATTCTGTAAGTGAAAAAAAATCAAAACCTCAGAAGTAAAATAATTTGCCCAAATTTACACAAGTAATAAAAAGTAGAACTGGGAAAAGCAATCACGCAGTCTAACTCCGATGCTCACATTCCTGATCTCTACTGATTAAGTATATACAACTGCATGGACTCCATCAATGCACAGATAACTCAAAATTTGGGGGTTACATAAAAATTTAAAGAGTCTTTGTATGTGAAGAGGTTTCTTGCATGTTAAAATAGCTTCATATGGCTTATTCTCATTAACTGTATCTTCTCTGCAAAGACATGGCCCAGGTAACTCATTCATATATAATGAAAACTCTACTTTAAAAAGAAAATTGGGGGAAAAAGGGTTGCAGTTATATTTTAACAAACGTCCAGATTAGTGTTGTCCAAAAGTACTTTTGGAGGGAGAGCAATGTTTTCTATCTGTGCTACACATCATGGTAGCCATTAATCACCTGTGGGTTTCCGCACTTGACATGCGTCAAGTGTGACTAACTGCGCTCTGAATATTTTGTAACCTTAAATAGTTTAAATAGCCACATGTGGCTACTGGCTACTATACTGGACAGGACAGGTATAGAAGACAAAACGCCAGAAAAAAGGTGAGTTAAGAACTCCTTACTGTCTTTATTTGAAGAGTGCTCGAACAAAGTTATTTAAATGTCTTGTTTTACTTGCTCTATTTTCAATTAACTGACCCAAACAATATAAACCAACAAAGAGACTTCAGCAACCTAAACTTTCTATATTTAAATTCTTCTTTGTGCATTTCAATGAAAAAAATAAAACCTGTATTATCAACAAAACTTCAGGTATCAGAAACTTTTTACTGTTTGGATAGCTAAGAGGAAGAATCTGATCTGAAAACTCTGCCACCTACTAGGAAAACTAAAGAGTCATGTTAAGTTTTACATTCTCTTCCTAATAAGTGCTTGATAATAAAGTGCTTACCTTGATTCTCCACTACTGTTTCTAACACTTTCTTCATCACTGTGTCCATTCATTGTAAATATCAAGAAGTTTTAAAATATAAATCTTCTCAGTTTAAAAGATGAATACAAATATGAACTCCTTTAACATCAAAAATTCACGGATGAATTTTCTCCAACATTCACAGGCTTCCTGGGCCCTTTCTGATTCACCTAAAAAAAAAAAAAAAAGAGAGAAAGTAAGAAAATTTCTTATAGAGAAAAAGATTAGTCAATCTATTTAGAACTTACAAAAATCTACCTCAGTCAATTAGAGATGGTAAGGAAGGGGTAGGAAGGAGTCCTTCCCTCGAAATACTTAGGCTTCTATTAACTACCATCCTGACTACGGACTAGAATTTAGCACCACGGCTTATTTCTGACAGAAGAAATTAAAAATCTGTGGAGTGATATAACTTTTAAAGTGACTGCAACTGTGTATCAATACACACATATACACATCATAGATGAATAGACAAGTACAGTCAAGTGGCAGTATGTGACCTGCATCCCAAGAACAGAACGTGTTCTACCAAATGAAGTCTTATTAGTTACTTGGTCCAACAAATGAATGGGGCGGGGGGGGGGGGGCGCATTACCTTTAATCAAGCGCTAATTCCTCTTACCGACAACTTCATACACTTGAGGGAGGGAAAGTTTCGGAAACGATCACGTAAGAACAGAGTAAAAGGTACCCTATACTTTCGGCGAAAAACGTACAGGTCAAAACAAACGTGTTCTCCCACAGGTAAACCGAGACCGGGGTGATAACGCTTAAACAGCATTCATCCAGTCTGGACTCGCAGAGGCTCCGTTTAAAAAAAAGAAAGAAAGGCAGTGGGATACACTGTAGGATTAATCAAGAAGTGGGCTTGGGGTGGGTAGAAATCCCGAGCCAAGCAAGACCCGGGCATCTGCGCCTCTGGAGACAGCGGCGCACTGGAGAGTCACCTACGAGCCATCCGCGAATAAACAAAGGAGATCTCTGGCAGGGGAGGGAGAGGAAGACGCGGGGGAAGGAGACGTCAGATCCTTCCCCGGCCCCCAAGTACCGGGGCGGGCGGCGCGGGGCGCGGGGCGCGGGGCTGTCCGCCGGCCTCCCGCTCCCACGAGCCCTTCGGGGGCCCGCGGCGCGGGGCGCGGGGCGCGGGGAGCGGGGAGCGGGCGCTGCCGGGCCGGCCGCGGCGAGTCCGCCTCGGAGCCCTCGGGGGAGCCCGGCGCGGGGGACCCCGCGACACACGGCCACAGCCACAAAGTGGCCCCCGCTCGCTCCGCGCGCCCAGGGCCCGGGTCCCGGCGGCCGACGGGCTTGGCCGCCGAACAATGACGCCGCACGGAGCCAGGACCTCGGCCGCCCGGAGTCTGTCCCCGCCGACAAAGTTCGCAACTCCGCCCGCTCTCCCCGGCGGACTCCTCCTCGCCCTTCAAAATGGCTTTCCCCCCGCGTCGCGACTTCCCTTTCCCCCGTCCTCCTGCTCCCGCGGCCAGCGCCGAGCGCCGAGCGCCGCCGGGCCCCGGGCGGACGCGGCCGAACAATGACTCCCGCGGCCCCAAGTCGCTCGACCTCCCCGACCCTCCTCCTCCGCGCCCGTCGCGCACCGGCCGCTCCGCCGCCGCTAAGTTTTCCGAGCGGCCCCGGCCCCGGGGGCGGCCGCAAAAGCCTGCCCCGCCGCCGCCGCCGCCCCCGCCGCCCGCCGCCCGCCCGCCCGGGGCCTGCAGCCCGGTCCCAGGGGCGCGCTTCCCGCCTCAAAGTTCCCGCAGACCCGCCCCGCGCCCTCCCGGGCTCGCCCGGCCTCCCCCCCGCCTGCCCGCCCGCCCGCCCGCCGCTCCCCACGTGCTGGGAGTCCGCGTCGCGGCGGGACCGAAGCCCCGGGCCGCCAGCCGCCAGCCGCAGCCGGGAGGCGGGGAGGCCGGGAGGCCGGGCGAGGGCCGAGGGGCCGAGGGGCCGAGGGGCCGGGAGGCCGGAGCTCCGCCGCCCCCGCCCGCCCGCCCGTCCGGCGCCGGGATGCGCCCGCCGCTCACACGCCCCCCGCGCGCCGAGCCCGTCAGCCCGGCCTCGCCCGCCGCCCGCCGCCCGCCGCCCTCCCCGCCACATCGCGACCCGCCCGCCGCCCGCCGCCCGCCGCCCCCTTTCTTACCGGCGGGCGTGCACGGCTCCGCGGGGCGGAGGGAGCCGACCGGGCTCCGCGGCCTCCCCCGCGCCCGGGCCCGCGGTCTCCGCCGCCGAGCGAGTCCCCGCGGCTCCGGGCGTCTCGGGGTGAGCAGGAGTCCGTGAGGAGCCGGAGGAGGAGCAGGAGCAGCAGGAGGAGGAGGAGGGGGAGGAAGAAGGGGAAGGACAAGCCCCGGGCCGCCGCCGCCGCCGCCGCCGCCGCCGCACCAACGCGCGATCCCCCCGCGGAGCGGATCCAACAATCAATTCATTATTGAAGCACCAACGGCGAGGAAGGCAGCACAGGCGACAAGTAACGAGCCGTCGTCGTCGCCGCCGCCGCCGCGGCCACGCGCGCGCTCCCGCTCCCGCCGCTTATCGGCTCCCGGCAGCCGCCATGACGCCGAGAGAGCGAGCGCAACCGCCGCCGCCGCCGCCGCCGCCGCCGCCGAGGTCGCCGTCGCCTCCGCCTCCCGCGCGACGTCAGCTCCTCGGCTCGCTCCCCGGCTCCACTGGGCGCGAGGCGGGCGGGCGCGCGCACGCCGGGCTTCTCGGGCGCGCGCGCGCGGGCGGGGGGCGGGGCCACGCCGCGGGGGCCGTCGGAGCGGGGGGGGGCGGGAGGGAGGCTATTGGCGGCGGGGGCGCGCACGCGCGGGGGCGGGGGCGCGCACGCCGGCCGCGCGGGGGCCGCCGGACTCTGGCCGCCGGGGCTCGCTCGGGCGCCCTCGCTTAGCGGCCGGGGATTCGGTTCCGGGAAGCGGGAGCTGCGGGCTAAGGACGTCGCGGCGGAGGGACTGAGAGGCTACCGGGGGAGCGGCGGGCTGCGGGGCGGGGAGGGGGATGCTCTAAACGACGCGGGGGCTCGGGGCGCCCCGGGAGGGCCAGGCCGGGGTCCTGTGCGCGGTCTGGGGGCCCAGGCCTCGAACCCTGCTCCCGGGAGTCCCGACGGGGGGGTGGCGGTGTGCCTCCCCCCAGGCGGCCTGGGAACCCGGCTGTCGGGCAACTGCGCTCCCCCCCGCCGCCTGCCCCGCTTCGGCGCCGGTGGCACAGGCTCCCGGCGGGGCCGCCCAGGAGCAGAGAGAGAGACCGGGCTGCTGCTGCCGTGACACCTCCTCCTCTGTGGAAAGGCTTTCACGGCCCTTGTAGGCGCCTGCCCGCAGGCGGGGAGGAGGGCGCCGTGCAGGCTCGCTGCACAAAAACAGCTCCCGGGACGCTGCTGACTGTGTCCAGCTGGCCCGCTGCTACTTAGTTGGCGGTTTCTTGCATAACTGTGACTGCGGGTCTCAGTTACAACCCTTTTAAGGGTCGGAGGAAACACCCTTTCCAGCGTGGCGCTGCTGTCCGGCTTCACTCGTGTTGAGAGCATTCCAAGATTTTATTTATTTATTCATAGAGACACAAGACACAGGCAGAGGGAGAAGCAGGCTCCACGCCGGGAGCCCGACGGTGGGTGGGACTCGATCCCGGGACTCCAGGATCAGGCCCTGGGCTGAAGGCAGGTGCTAAACCGGTAGGCCACCCGGGCTGCCCGAAAGCATTTCTTTAAATCCAAATTCTTGTAGACTTTCTCCACCTGCCCCCTGCCCCCCCCGCCCCCCCCCCCCCCCCGCAGTCCTTTGACTCAGGCCAGGTTAATGATCAAACTCTCTAATCGTTTTCTCCAGATTTGGTGCCAAGGCCCACCTTCCAAGGCAGAGGAGCATGAATGTGGTAGCTGCGTTCTCAAAACGATCCTTTTCATCTCTTCGGAAATAACTTCTGTTTTAGTCCACCAGCTGCTGGAACAGTTTGGTTTAGAGGCCTCAGAGAGATCTCAAAACATCATCCCAAGTATGTGGAAGGAAGTAGGAAAAGGCAAACAAGTACACGTGGTCTGCTAAAATACATGTATATATATGTACATGTTTATCAATAAGTAGTAAAACAAAATGTAGCACTGCCATCATTTGTAAAACGAGCTGTGCTCAGCCTCTTTTTCTTGTATCTTTTTTTTTTCCTAATTACTAAATCGCTGTAATGCTGGGTTGTGAAGAAGATCGTAACAAGTAATCCATTTTTGAAGTCCCGAAAAGTAGAGAGGAACTGCCAGTGTCTAATATTAAAGGTGATAGTAATTCAAAATTAATGATGAAGGTGCCTTAACGATTGGAGCTTCCTGTGCCTCACACCAGTTTCTTTATTGGATTACTAGAGTGGTAAGTAAAAGGGAAAAGCCCCAAGAACACAGTAACCATGGCAGTTAAAGAATTCTGGAATCAGAAGAAGGATGCGGATGATAAAGTCTTGAATTAATATCTGTACTACATTTTATCATTATCTCACAAAAAAAAGGATTGTACGAGTTACATGTGTGTTTTCTGAAAGCACATCACAAGCTTCTTAAACTATGCCATTTGGACGTAATATACTACACGTAAACTCTGTAGACGCTTTTCTTGCAAAATAAGTCTTAGTAAATTTGTAATAAAATATTGAACCTTGGATATTTATATTTCCGTTAATATAATATTCTTTATGACTGCACAGAATTTTATAATTGCCATTGAGAATGTGGAGAACTACAAGGTAAGTGGAAAATGGGAACAATCTTGCCAGTTAAGTTTTTTAAAAGCTATTTTAAAATGAATAAGGCAAGAGTTATTTTCTTGACCATTTGTTATCTGAACAGTTAAGTTTTTAGTTTCACTTTGTGTGAACAGACTCTGTCCTTATCTCTATTGGTACTAAAAACAATAGACAAACAGTTGATAATCTCAGCACATGACTGGCAAAAATCCCTGAAAATTAATGGCAACCAGGAAGTCTTTATTATTTCCCATTTGAGAAATTTCATATTCTTTGGAAAACATACTATTTTTACAAAATCTAGGACAGCACTTTGTGGGTCCTTGATTCTGTTACGCTCTTCTAGGACTAGTTAACTGACGGGCATCCATAGATGGAGATAGAGTAAGAACCACTTATCCAGAATTGTGAAATGTTCAACATAAAGGCAACGATAACTCTTGCTTTTCTCATGAATATTTTGGATGCCAAGATAGGATTTCAATTGCATAATTATGTTCTTTTTGCCGAGAGGATTTGTGTATGAGAAGCTGCTAAAACAATCAGAACAATATTAAAATAGCCTAGAATCTAAAACAATGTCGTCATCCCCAGATCCTTGCCAAACAGTGGAATAACTTTCCAAATATACTTAAATTTACAAAGTTCTTTATAAATAGAACCCATGAAATCCTATGTCACCTTATAGTGAAAATTTACATTTTTCTGTGTTTTTAATTATTAAAATTATATGACAGGAGCTGTGGTTCCCAGTGTTGGTGAGGGGGGTGGCAGGAGTCAGAAACTGGGGAAATTTTTTCCTAAGAATGCTGGACACTCTTCTGATATGCAGAATTTCTAGGTTCTAGATAGTTTTAGAATTTTTTTCTGGATTTTTCTGATACCTACCAATTGCTCATTCACTTTTGGCCATCATATTTGGGAATTTTTACTGATAAATTCTTGAATCGCAAGTTTCAAATGGAAGGTTCTTAAAGGTGATGCTAAAAGACAACTATATAAAATCTAACCATTGGGGACTCCTGGGTGGCTCAGTGGTTGAGCGTCTGCCTTCGGCTCAGGGCGTTACCCCGGGGTCCTGGGATGGAGTCCTGCATCGGGCTTTCCACAGGGATCCTGCTTATGTCTCTGTCTCTCTGTGTCTCTCATGAATAAATAAATCTTAAAATAATAATAATAATAATCTTTGAACTATATATATTCTACTTTCTCTAATTTTCAAAGTGTGCCCAAAGAGTAAGAAAAAAATTAGCTAACTGGTAGCAAATTGGTGCATTAATGCTGTATCAGATCCTTTATTTACTGTTCATTTTACCTCGGGTATGCTGTCTTTACCCTTTCTTTATCCTCTCTACTTTTATTATATAGGCCCCACTTTCTCTGTGTCTTTCCCTGTAGCTCAACCTGTGGCTTCCTTCAGACTTGAAACCTAATGAAATCACTCCTCTGCCTTAAATACATATTCTTAAATATACCACAAATCTGCATACATAATGTTTTAGTCTTTTCGCAGTCTGACCCCAGCATTGCCTCCCATCATTCCTAGGAGACACATGATACTCTAGCCACATATTTCTTCAGATCATTAGAAAGTTACCTTTAAATGTAAGTGGATATAGTTCGTCTGTCTTATGAATTAGCCTCTTACGGGTTTAAGCAATTCATCAAGGATTATTATGTATCCTCCTGCAATTGTACAGACACCCTAAGAGGCATGTCAGGGGCAGCCCAGTGGCTCAGCAGTTTAGCGCTGCCATCGGCCCAGGGCGTGATCCTGGGGACCCGGGATTGGGTCCCATGTCAGGCTCCCTGCATGGAGCCGGCTCCTCCCTCTGCCTGTGTCTCTGCCTCTCTCTCTCTCTCTCTATCTCTATCTCTATCTCTATGTCTCATGAATAAATAAAATCTTTAAAAAAAAGAGGCATGTCAGGCAGCTCTCCACCTCCCTTTTAGGACATCAAATTGTGTATTCTGTAAGTGCAGCATATCTTTGTATCGTATTAAAGCACTTGTTTCCATATGACATTGTGAGCTTCTTGAGTGGATGGAGACTCTGTTCCCAGTGCATTATTGTTGACATTTATTCAATAAATTGCATACCAGACATTCTGCTAGGGTGAGGGGTCACTGTGCTTAGGTTGTATAAGAGCAAAAACATACTTTCAAGAGTTAAAGTCTAATAGAGGAAACAATCATACTGCAAAATCATAACAAAAATGGTATGAAGAACCAATCGTGAGAATTCATAATGGAGGACCCTAGTCAGAAGAGTCTCCAAAGGAAGTGATGTGGTCTGAGAACTGAAGAATTAATATGGAATAGATAAGCAAAAGAGAAGTAAAGAGCTTTCCAGGTTAAAAAAAAAAAAAATAAGATGGGCAAAAATCCTGGACCAGAGAGATGAGGTCGATTTATAATCCAGTTGGCCAAGGATGGGCATTTTTTACTTTCCGAAGTGCTCTGGTTTGGACTACAAGGAGGGTAGTACTGCTAGAGCAGATAGAACAAAGGAAGATGAAGCTACATAGGAGCCAGGCTATACAGGATCCAAAACCAGGTAAAGAAGTGGGTTCTGGGCACCTGGGTGGCTCAGTTAAGCATCCAATCCTTAATTTCAGCTCAGGTTATGATTTCAGGGTTGTGAGATGGAACCCTGCATCAGGGCATGGAGCCTGCTTAAGATTCTCCCTCTCCTCTTTTCTCCCCCTAAAAAAATCAGTAATAAAAATTAAGTGGGTTCTTTTCTTGGAACAAAGGGTAACCTTTGAAGGATTTTAAACTGTGGTAATGAAGGATTTGCAAATTGGAAATTTTACTCTAGCCTTAAAAAATTAGTGGTATGTCAAAGAAAACACAATATCCTTTAGTGAATTAGGCTAAAAGCTAAGAAATACCTTGATGGGCCAGTGTAGTGTTACAGAAGAGAGAGTAGATTTGGAAGGGAATGTCCACAGAATTTGTTGATGCCGTTGGATTCAGGGTTGGGAGGAGGAGGGAAGCTGTACATAAAATGGAATGGCATGGAACTGAATAGTAATAGCATTCACTTCATAGGTAATATATTTGGAGATGGGTAGGTGTGGAGATCATAAATTTGGATCATAACTGAGTTTCTGATACCTTTGAGTCAGGATTCTTTGGGATAGAGGTCTGGAGCTGAGAAGGGAGATCTGGACTGAATAAAAACTGAAGTGTGTGGGGAGAAATTAACGTCTTGAGTATACATGAAATAAACTTGGAAGACAGCCTAGGAACATACAGTCAAGAACTTCAGTTAATTTTTGGCTAGGTGGAGGAAGATGATCTGGATAAGAAGTTGCAGATGTCAAGGATGTTGTGCAATGGATAACAAAGGCAGAAGTACTTCAAGGAAGGAGTGGTGAATGGTATATAATGCTATTGAGAATCATATGAAATAACATCAGCATATCCATTGGATTTAGTAACATGATGAGCTTTTGTTACCTTAGAATTATTTTGCTGGAATAATAAATAGGGCGAGAGCCAGGTTGGAGTGGAATGTAATAAATGAAGAAATTGAATCATGGAGTCTAAAATCAATGACTTTGACTTGAGAGGGAATATTCTCTTTGCTTTTGGGGAGCAGGGTTGTGTAAATTTTTGTTTAGGTGAAAGACAAGATATTTCAAAGACAATGAGAAATGTCCTTTTGAGAGGTTGATTAGAGACGAGTTAACGATAATTAGCTAGAAGGATTAACAATAGTTGGATTAACAAGCATTCAGAAATGTATATACCTTAAAAGTCTGATTTGGGAAAAAAAAATTTTTTTTCAACCAGGAGCTAAATACTAGATACCACTATTTATAGTTATGGGCTCCAGGTGATGACTTGATGTGATTTGAAAGTTTCTGTGAGTCTTCTATTTCCCAAATATATGCACACCTCATATTCTACTAATGTTTGAAAAATTGTTGGTAGAAATCTATTTTCAAGCATATACTCCTGGGAAGACTAATATGTTAAGACATTAATTCTTGACTGTGCCCAAATTAAACTTTGGGTAGCTTTGCAATAAAAATGCTCAAGCCTTACCTCAAGAGATTACATTCCATTGTTTTTAGGTGGGGCCTTGGCTTAAGCATTCTTAAAAGCTCACCTTTTTAATTTTTTTTTTTTTTAAGATTTATTCATTCATGAGAGACACAGGCAGAGGGAGAAGCAGGCTTCTCGCAGGGAGCCCAGTGGGGGACTCAATCCCAGATGTCCTAGCCGAAGACAGATGCTCAACCGCTGAGCCACTCAGGTGTTCCAAAAGTTCACTGTTTTTAAAAGATGATTCTACTGTGCTACAGCACTGGGAAACTATGGACATTGTTGTATTAACACTGCATTGACTCAAAACAGTTTGGATGAAGTATGGAGAGGCCGGGACACTTATTTTGTTAATAGTGGTTATTAATGGGGCAAGGGGAGATTTTGCCCCACAGGTGACATTTGGCATTATCTGGATACATTTTTGGTTGTCACAATGAAGGTCAGGTGCTGCTGACATGTAGTGGGTAGAGGCCAAGGATCCTGCCTAAAGATCCTACAGTGCATCGGACACCCCAGCAACAAATAGTTATCTGGTCCCAAATGACAATAGTGCCATTGTTGAGAAACCATGCTATAAAGGGTGCCAAACTTAAGTATTTTTTAGTGAAATCTTGGTAGAGTGGTGGTTTGGTAAGGGTACTAATGAAGGAGGATCTGCACACTACCTAACAAGGTAGTCTAAACTCAACCTTGCTTATAATTAGCAACAAAAGAACCTCAAAAAAAAAAAAAAGAACCTCAAACAAAACACATTTGTAGAACAAAGAAATATAATTAGCACAATAGACTGATAATGTTACTTTCCTTGTTTAAAAAAAATACAGTGTAACAAACTCATTGTTGGTGTAAGTGTAAATTG